TTAAAATTTTTTAATAAAAATTTTCTTCCTTTCCTTTTTTTTTTTTTTTTTTGCATTTTCACCCTTATTTTCGCATTACATTACAAAATCATCATTTTCTCAATTAAAAATTGTAAAATAATAAATATACCATCTTATTTAAGTAAAATAAAAAATAAAGAACAAATTGCAACTATCCTCCCATATTTTCTAAAAAGTACAAATAAATTTCAAATAAATAATTGAATTTGAATTTTATTTGTACTTTGTTGAAAATTTTGGAAGTATACGTGCAATTTGTTCTTTGTTTTTATTTTTGTTTTATTTAAATATAAGGGTATATTCGTCATTTTACTAACTTTAATTGAAAAATGAATGAAAAAGATGGTTTTCGTAATGAAATGTGAAAGGATGAAAATGCTAAAAAATGAAAAATATGAACGTTTCGCATAATAATATTGAAAGATAGAGACATTTTGTGTTAATTATTATTTTAATAATTTATTTGCACTTATTTGCAGTTTGTTAAAAAGTTTGGGGTTATAATAACAATTTGTTCTTTTCTTTTTTTACTTAAATAAGAAGGTATATTTGTCATTTTACATTTTTTTATTGAAAAAATGAATGAAAATAACATTTTCTGCAATAAAATGTGAAAATAACAAAAAAAAAGAAAGGCAATGACGTTTTGCACAATGATATTAAAACGTAAAGATGATTTGTGCTAATTATCTTTGTTCCAATTTAATTGGTAATAAAAATTTACACAAAAAGTAGTATCATTTTATATCTTTCAATATACAGAGTAGAGGCATATTATTTTAACTGTTCTACAAACATAATTTAACTTTCGTAAAAAAGTTTCTATTTCTAGATTAAAAAGGTTAAACCATTTTTCTTAACCTTTTAAAATTGAAATTTAGAACTCAATGCACTACCATCCAGTGGTGGATTCTCTCTAATTCTTTGGTGTAATTATTAATTAGATTGTAAACTAATTTAATTTTTATCTTTCAATTTGGAACCAGTGATTGATTAATTATGCCATAAATGTCTGCCAGATTGACTGATAAAATAAAATAAAAATTCTTAAAATAATAATTTAAAGACACGTTATTATCAAAGTCTGAAAATTGGAAAGGGAAAGTAGTGCCTTTTCCCTATATCCATGTTTCACATTTGCTAATTCTCTGTCGTGTATCCAAAGTGGACGTCGTTTTCCCTAATCAATGTTTAACACTTGCAAATTCCCTGTCGTGTAGCCAAAATAGATAAAGTGCAGGAATAATATAATAATTAAGAAAGAAAAAATAGGAAACTAACAAATGTGGAGGAAAAAAAGGAAAAAAACACTATGAGGTGTGTATAATACACCGAGTCCTTAAAATAGATTTGTCATTTTCATCGTAAGTGCTTGAAGTTTTCTTGACCATTTACCTTATAGAATAAAACGATGAAATCAATAGAAACTGAGCATTAAAAAGGGACTATTTTGTACTAGAAAAGAAGAGTTTTTTTCCACTTGTGTGAAATGAGGAATATTTTCCACTTATGTGAAATGAGGAATATCAACCTTTATCATAAGCTCCATGAATGGCGAGTTAATCTCACAAACTAACTAGCCAGTGACAGCCTATTAAATCAGTGTATTAACTAATGGAGTTGGGTCTGGGCGTTGGGTAGATCGATCCAAGTACATCTATCCAAATCAAACATTATATTTTGGGTATTTTATATATGAAAACATTTGAGTTATCTAATTACTGTAATCAAACCAGAACTATGCTACATATAACATTTTTTTAAAAATTGTGAACTGGCTACTGCTTTCCCTTTCCAATTTTCAAACTTTGATAATAACGTGTCTTCAAATTATTATTTTAAGAGCTTTTATGTTACTTTATCGGGTAATTAGAATAAAACGTCCTTACTTTCAATGTCATTATGCAAAACGTCCTTACTTTTCATTTTATTTTTACTTTTTTGCATTTTTATTCTTATCTTCACCTTTTATTGCAAAAATCATACTTTTCATCAAATTTTTCTCGTGTAAAATGACAAATATATCATCTATTTGAATAAAAAAAAGTTAAAAAGTAAATTACAATCATACTCCCAAACTTTTTTAAAAAGTCCAAACAAATTATTAAAAGAGTAATTAGCACAAAACGTCCATACTTTTCATCATTATTGTGCAAAACGTTCATACCTTTCATTTTTTGACACTTTCACCCTTATTTTTATATTTTATGGCAAAAATCATTATTTTCATCCATTTTCTTAATTAAAAACTATAAAATGACAAATATTCCCTCCTCTTTAAATAAACAAAAATAAATAAAAGAGAAATAAAGAACAGATTGCAACTTGCTCCTCAAAATTTAAAAAAAAAAAATTTAAATAAATAATTAGAAAATAAATATTACTTTATTTTCTAATTATTTATTTGAAATTTATTTGTACTTTTTTTGAAAATTTTGAAAATATAGTTGCAATTTGTTCTTTATTTATTTATTTTATTTAAAGAAGAGTGTATATTTGTCATTTAATAACTTTTAATTGAGAAAATGGATGAAAATAACGATTTTCGTAATGAAATATGAAATAAGGGTGAAAATTTCAAAAAATGAAAGATAGGGACATTTTGCACAATATTAAGGAAAGGTATGGACATTTTTGTGCTAATTACCTTTTTAATAATTTATTTGGACTCATTTGCACTTTTTTAAAAAAAGTTTGAGAATATGATTTCAATTTATTCTTTAACTTTTCTTTTCTTTTTTATTGCTAGTTGTCTTATGATATTATATGTAGGACGTGTACGTCTAGACTTCAATTATACATGTTTCTTTGTGCCCTTTCTATCACGGATTGATTGTCACAATGTACAAAGATTTTTGTCCCATGCTTGAGCCATCTCGAAATATTCTCTAAGAAGTTGCATAACCACTCAACTTCTTCACCATATTTTTCTAGGGCTATAAATTTAGACTTATAGTGGATCTAACTATCTTTTTATAGGATTTCCACTAGATGGTTTCACTTTCCATTGTGAACACACATTCATTTGTAAACTCTAAGTCTTTTATATAAGATATCAAGTTAACATCACTATATCCTTCAATAATTGTTGGATATATAGTACAGCGAAGTCCATAACTATATCTTAAGTACCATAGCACTCTTACTATTCATGTTTAGTGGTAAGCTCGTGGATTGTTCTTGTATCTACTCAGTTTATTACTATGTAAGTTATGTCTATTTACAATTCAGTAGGTACAATATACTTTCAATAATTCTAAATTACTTGAGAGAAACTCTTATCTCTATTTTTTGATAGACACTAACTTGTATTTATCAGTGCTCTAGCCATAACGAATCTTCCTTATTGATTTTTTCAAGAATATTGTTCTCTCAATGACTTTTTAACTAACTCTCTGTTTAATCGATTGGTTAATGGATCCGCAATATTATCTTTTGACCTCACATAATAAATGGTGATAACTCCAAAAGAGGGTAGTTGTCTTATGATATTATATGTAGGACGTGTACGTCTAGACTTCAATTATACATGTTTCTTTGTGCCCTTTCTATCACGGATTGATTGTCACAATGTACAAAGATTTTTGTCCCATGCTTGAGCCATCTCGAAATATTCTCTAAGAAGTTGCATAACCACTCAACTTCTTCACCATATTTTTCTAGGGCTATAAATTTAGACTTATAGTGGATCTAACTATCTTTTTATAGGATTTCCACTATATGGTTTCACTTTCCATTGTGAACACACATTCATTTGTAAACTCTGAGTCTTTTATATAAGATATCAAGTTAACTTCACTATATCCTTCAATAATTGTCGAATATCTAGCATAGTGAAGTCCATAACTATAATTATATCTTAAGTACCCTTGCACTTTTAATATTAATTATGAGTGGTCAGCTCATGGATTGCTCTTGCACCTACTCAATTTATTACTATGTAAGTTATGTCTTTGTACAATTCAGTAGGTACATTATACTTT